GAATATATTTTCAAATATCTATGTAAGGTTTAACTTTAGACATTGGCTGACTGAAAAGTTATATCTACATTTTTGAGCGCAAAACAATCTGCGGGCAAGGCCGGGGAATACCCGCTGGTATAATATATTTGAGCAAAGATCATTTGAAAGTTATGTCTGGCTGTGACGTGTGCTAAAAATGTGGCCAAGATAAATTGTTAACAGCTCTTATAAATAATATTACTCACGCAAGCAGAAATATCTCGAATAAATTAAATATATATTTGGAAAATGTTCCAACAGCTCAAAATTTATAAAAGCATTTTACAAATTTTCTGACTAGTAATTAATTTATTTTTCAATTGTTTCTAAAAATCGAAATTCAACTTTTTTATTTAATACTTTTAGATGATAATTTCACATCACATGTTTAGCTGCTGAATTCAATATGAAATTTTATCACGACGCAGAAAAATGAAACGAACAAAAAAAAAATGAAGAAAAATCATTAAGCAAAACGGAAAAACGAGGCAAGAAAAAAAAATGGCAGGGGATTGTGGGGAAATGAAAAGAGAATTGCATTTATTTTTAAACAAATTAATTGGCCGCTCGCCAACTGCCATAAAAACGTTTGTGTTTCGCTAACTGTGCACAATGCGAGCGACAATAACAACAAATACAATGAACAAATTCTTTAGCATTATGTCAAACAAAAATATGTATAGATACTTCATATACATATGCATATGTCAGAGAGCGAGAGAGATATTGCAAATTGGAATTTCCCACGTTGAAATGCCGAAATAATTAGTGTGCCAATTATAATTCTTAGAAGGAATCAAAAATAGATGGCAGATTATAAGCGAATGTGCAAGACCTGTTTACGTTCAGAAAGAAAATAAATAACCAAATTCAAAATCAAAATCAAAATCAAAATCAAGGCCAATGCCGTCAACGGCTCAAAGTAGCTTCCACTAATGGATTGGATTGGCCGATTGGCCCGATTGCAATTCCAATCGCAAATGGCATTAATGCATGCTGGCAGTTTGACAAAATATGACCAAGTGCAAGATTCGATAAAACAATAAATAAAAGAGGAATATCATAAACAAGCATTCACCACTTGCGCAATACCCTGTGCACAGTTAGCTGGCAAAATTCTCTGGATGTGAATCGTTTCACTAAATTTTTTTAAAATCTGTGATAAATTCTGCGCTTGGGCCAAAAACTTGATTTATGGTTGTGGAAAAAGAGGTTCACGAAAGGAACTTAAGAGCAGGCAGCCGAATCGAACCGTGAACGGAACCAACAACCATTTCTTATACCCTGCATCCATTGAAAATGTGTAAAAAGGGATTTAATGTATTTGTGCAAATGTATGTAACGACCCCATATACCATATATATTCTTGATCAGCATCAATAGGCGAGTTCGTCCGTCCGTATGATCACAGAAGCTATAAGGGAACGTATAAAGAAGTATATCTCGATAATAGATATCTTGCCTCCGTCTCCAAACAATCGATAAAAATCGATATCGGAATGCTATTTTTTGAGCTCTAAACTTGGCATGTAGCTTTTAAAATAAAATAGAGAGATCAAGCATCTTTCATTTTATAACTGACATAAAGGAATCGAGCGCTTAGCGTGAGCTGCATTGTTTTTGTTGGCAGAAAAAGGTTCAGGGTATCCTCTAGTCGGGCACTCCCGACTTGAGCACACTTGTTTCTTAGTAAGCCAGTTTATAGTACCCACTACGATGCCTCACAAAAGGGCACAGAAAATATGGACTCGGAATTGTTGGCAGTAGCTTCTATAAACTCCTACCTAAGGCTGTAAGCTATCAACCCATTTGCATTTTCTACAAATACAGGGTGTTTAGATAGCGTATAATTGCATCCTTAAAGTAAAATGTAAATGTAAACTTTAATTGTATTTGCTGTGCCATAGAAATTGAATTGATTTTTGCTTTTGCCATTTAGTCAACTTTTGCCACGCAATTTGATTTCCTTTTAAACAAATATTTAGCCAAATATGAATTTTTACGCAATTGTTACTGCTGTGGTTATTACCAATGTGGGTCAATGGGTTGTATAACCTTCATTATCAGCACATTTCGTATTTCCATTGATAAGCTCTGATTGTTGATTACTTGGCCAACTTTCAAATGTTTGTACAATTTTCGCGGCCCTTTTCCATAACGCCAAAAGCAGCTGTAAAATGCGTGCAAAGTGCAAAATTAATTTCGGTTAAAAGTTTATGTTAATTGCAATTTGCATTTTGCAATCTAAACAAACGAATTTCACGGAGCGTCGATTTTAAAATCCTATTGAGTAAACAACAAATCAACTGAGCGTAGCGCAAACAAAATTTAAAAATTGTTTTTCATATTTTGTAACTAAACAAAAAAAGGCTTAAATTATGTAAGAGCCAGAATTTGAAGATTTGTGTATTCCACTTGAAGTATGTTGCAGTAAAAAAGAATTATAAATTCTTTAGGAATTTTTTTAAATTTAAGCCAACTCAAGCGACTGCGCAATGCTCTACTTTCAGACTTAGGAAAATAAAATTGAAGTATTTTTCCCTTTTTTTTAACTAGCGTGAGACTTTAGAACTGAAGAAAATCTTGAAGAAAAGCGTTCCCTGATGTTGGTTTATGCAACTATAAAAACAAATGTTGGAGTCTCTAGAAGAAAAGTCGAATAAAAAAGTATTAAACAAGACTTACAACAAGTATTATAATTCATAAAATGTAATTATGCATTAGCTTGGCAAATATATTGTTAAGTATTTTTTTTCCACAATCATCCCAAATATCTTCCACAGTTTTTCCGCTAAAGCCATCAAATTTGTTTAATTTTATTGTGCAGCTTTTACACTAGGAACAGAGTATCGAGTAGTCAGTAGAATGAGACTGCAACTGTCTTCATTTCTGGAATTACTTTGAATCTAATTGTTTATCACCGCATTGATTCTTCCATATTTACAGGGTGTCTTCTAGTTCAGCTAGTTTTCGACTCGTTAAAGGTTCTCGCTGCTGAATTTCGATTAAATAATGTTTCAATGTTTATGTTTACGCAAAAGCTGTTAGCATAATTTGACATGCTGCATTCGGGCTATTTTTCTCTAATTTTGTTTTCCACTTGCGTGCCTTAATAGTTCACAAATACACATAATTTTAACGGCTCGATTGAGGAAAATATATAAAACATAAAAAATAAGCAAAAACCAGTGTGGAGTCCAATGTTGCGTACGTGGAATCCAGTTGAAACGTTTGGCCGGTTCGGTCAGTCGTCTTATATACCCTTGCAGAGAAGGGTACTATGATTTTGTCATGAAATGTGTAGAGCAGAAGGCTGCGACTGCTTAAGGTATATATATGCGTAAGGTATATAACATATATATAAGGTATTTATATATACTCTTGAACAGCAGAAATACTAGAGTTTATGTGCAAACAGGTCTCTTAGTCTTAAGCAAACTTTAGAAACTTTGAGGCAGATATAAAGCATGTCTTAGTCGGAGGATCGAGACAATATATCATATATATAGTTGTCATAGGAAAGATCTGTTGAAAGTTAAGCTCTTGTATAATAAACTTATTTGTCTTAAACATATCTTGACAAAACTCCAGATTTACTAGTTTCCCTAGACTTCTCATATAAATTTCTATCAATATCCTTTTGCTATCTTGTTAAGATCTCTTGAAAGATTGCGACAGAAAATGTGATTTTGTGGAATACTTTTCTGGTAATACAAAATATTATGTCCAAATGTATGCCGAGGAAGTTTGTCCTTTCTTTTTATACCCTGGTAGAGTGTATTATAAGATTGTCATGAAATGTATCTCCGACTCCATGAAGTGCATATATATTCTATTTTCATCAAAGTTAGCATTTGCGGGCTTCGCTATTCTTCTCACATATCTGCTAAACAGTCTAAAAGAGTATTTAATCTTCGATATGCCGTATGCTTTTTTCTAGTCTTTTATTTATTTATTTAACTTTTTTTTTGGCAAGTCGGCCTGGCGCGGCCTGGCCAGGCGGTAGAAACCATATTAGCCCGTAATTATTACAAATGCCTATATTCAATTTATTTTGCTTGTACAAAATTTAATTTGTGCGTTTTTTGTTTGTGTTTTTCCGTTTTTGTTTCTGTTGCCGTTTATTGATAAATGTATTTTAGTCGGCGGCAAAGTACACAAACAAATAATCTTTCATGCAATGCATAAACTAATATTTCACTCAGAAAACATTTTCTGCAGCATTAAAAAAACACGTGTGTGCTCGGCGCTATATAAACACAAGAAAAAGAATATCTGCATATATATATATATATATATCGTATATATGTCCAGATACTGGCCATATCTATAGAAGATCAATTCACATTTTGCGTGGGTGCGTGGTAGTCATTAAAGTTTCGACCTTTCGTTGTTTTAATTTTGATATTTATTGCAAAAAGAGCTCATTAAAAAGCGAACTCGCATATTGTTTTTGGCCAGAATTATTGCGCCTGTTGTTCAGTTTTATAATGTATATATGCATAAATCATCTTTGTTGTTGTTTGTTTTCTGAGCAGCTCTCAAATATATTTGTTTATTTTAAAGGCTCAAATGGATGACCGGAAAATGTAGCCCATTTGAAAAGCTTCTAATTTGCATGTCTTTAGATAGCTTTGTATATAAATTGGAGTTTCCAAAACCGAAACTCTTTAATATGTTTTATACAAGCCATAAAACAGTTTAGGGAAGCCAAGAAGCTTTTCAGACAAGCATTAAGTAACAATTATTAGAAATATAAACTTTAATTTTCCTTTCTTGCCTATAATAAGTATATATATATGAATATTGTTCTCGAGCTTTTAGCTTAAAGTTTTCTCTAATCCAGTCTAAAATACAAAAGTAGCTTTAAGCTTTTATGTTTCTACAACCATGCTATTAATGTTGTTCATAGATCTTATTATAAATTATATTAGGCTTAATCAACTTAACAACTATTTAAAAATATTCATTCGACTCACCAGTTTGCTTTGGTAGAGAGTAAAAATCGAGTGTTTTGATTTCGGATGTTTCCACATGCGGCGCGAATCCCTCGTATAAATCGCTTTCCTCCACAATGCCGCTCAGCTTATCGGCCTGAGCCGATGTATCGGCACGATGATAGGGCATCTTCTTAGCCAGTGTTTTCTTCTTAACTGTCTCCGTTTTTGAGCAGTGTATGCCTGTGGCTCCTTAGTAAATATGTGTGTGTGTGCAGTTGGTTTTCTTCTTCTTGTTTAAGAGCTTGCGTTTGGTTTAGGCGCAATTTCTATCGGTTTATTCAATATTTGTTAATTTTTTGACTAGATCAACTTTATTTGCAGTTGGTTGTGTTTTTGTTGTTGTTATTGTTTTTGTTGTTGTTGTTTATGTGGCATTTATGGAGACAGAAACACTCCAATACGATGATGCCGCGCGGAATTCATTATAATGAAAGATTTAAAACAAATACTGCGCGAGCATATTGTTGTACATAATAAATGAGCGGCGCTTCAGGGTCTGCAAAAGATAAGAAGAGAAAGGTTTATAAGTAAAATAAAGTTTAAATTTCTCACAAACTATGTTTAAGCATTGCGAGGTGGCGTTTTCTAACTGACTTTTTTATAGGTACAAAAGAATATTGGTTCAAAATAAGTTTGTCAAAGTTTCTATTCATATATTGCGAACTGGAATCGTATACGACAACACTTAACACAAATCAAAAAGGTGTGGAAATTAATCAAAATCCAATCTTCGGTCAACTTTTGATGTAAAAGAAGCTTCAAAAACGGATTCAAGATAAAAAGTGAGGTTAATGTTGTCATAAGCTGTACTTTGAAGATTGATCCGATCAAAATTTCTTATTGATTTGCAGAATCTAGATTAGAAAATAAATTTGTCCTCCTATTAGTATGAAACAAAAGTACAGATACCTTCGGAACGAAGAAGATTTAATACCCTTGCAGACAATTGCCCTATGGATTTTGCAGACATGTGAGAATGCTATATACATCAGATAAATTCGCCATACTAAAACTATTCTATTGAGCAATATAATAAAGTAGTGCGATCTAAATAAGAATTTGCTCGTATATAGAATAGCATAGTATATATAGCATAGATAAGCCAGTAAATGCAGGGTTTGATCAAGATACCTTGATAAAAAAAACACGTTGACCTGGCGTCTGAGCGTCGGGCCAACAAGCAAGCAGCCGCCGGTTCAAATTCAGCAGCAGTTCTCAATACATGCCCTTTATTTGTTATTATATAATAATAAAAAAAGCAATAATAATAAAAATAAAACAGTTGCAAATAAATAGAAAGCAAGCAAAGTAAGCTAAGCTATAATTTAAGCTGATTTGTAGCCAAAGCTTTTGGGCAAATGCAGCTAAAATTTGGCGAGTTTTTTTGGGGGATTGAAGTTTGCTGTCTCAGCGGATTTTCAGTTAAGACAAACGGAATGCCGGCTAGTGGGTTAAAGGGAAATCTTATCAGCTTATTTATTGTTTATTATCATTTAAATGTTTGGCATTCCAAGTTACGGCAAATAAACAAAAATCTGTGTAACCCAATCAACATACATCAGTCGGACAAACGAGCGGGTGGCAATGAATCCATATACATTTTACGTGTGTACGTATACATATATAAATATTTCTATATGTGTATACATATAGTCCTTGCCAGTCACACACACAATTGGGCGATTGGTTCAATGACACGCATGAAAAACAACTGAGAACATTTCAATTCATTTGGGCCAACACAACAAAATTCCAATTGTAGACAAGGCGTCGGGCGCCTCTGGGCCATAAAATACATGAAACGGCATTAAATGCCAGCAGCAATAAAAATCTCAACTGGCCGGAGAGTTAAATGTGCGCCATATAAATATACGGCCCGAAAGTACTTATGAGGCTCCCAAATGTCGCGTCTTAGTCAAGTCACGCTGAGGGTGGACACGGCCAGCAGCCGGTTCTGATTTCGGTTCACAATTTCGATGTCTAATTAATATTTGGCAAGCCCGCAGCAAACCGGCACAGATATATCTCGATTGCTCATAAAAAATACCTAAAATATATAATATACGTTGCCGCAAATACAGATACAAATCACTTAGAAGTACGTTTAAAATAAATGTCAGCCAATATTTGTTTAAATGAACTTGCCGAAAAGAGAAAAAGTTGTAGAAATCAATTTTGCATTAGAAAGTCAATATGGGAAATTATTATATTGCAAAAAGTATAAATAAATAAACTACATTCAAGAATTGCTTTTGTAATTGTTAGATTTTTATTCACGTATTCAATAATATTTGACTCAAAGCTTTTTATAAATATTTTTTGGTTTAAGAAATTTAAATAAATTTAGTTACTTAGCTAGTTTTCACAATTTACTTTGTTTGTCGAATCAGCAAACATTTCAAACACGCCAAAAAAAACAGAAACTCTTGTGACAGATAAAGCTGCAGAGCTCTTTAATTTCCGATCAGACAGTGACAAAATGTTTCTAATATAAAAAAAACAAATATTTTGACTATGCGCACTGCATAAATAGTTCAAATAATATTAATTTGCAATATCATTTGCTTTAATTAGGCTACACGTATGCAATATTTATGGGCTAGATTCATTAAGATATATTTAATTTGAATATAAATGAAAGTAATTCAATAAATGTTCCATACAAATTCCAAAAGTCAATTACAAAATGCTAAACACTATTTTCAAAACACGCTGCGTATACTTAATAAATATATTTTACAACACACGCTTCATTTAAGCTCAAACCAAGCGAATAATACAAAACGAAATAACAACTAAAAGTTTGCCGCCTGATTAAAAATCAGAAAAAAAACATGTAAAAGTGCTCGCGTCGGGAGTGTCCGCGAAGAGGATACCCTGTACGTTCTTCTACCAACACCAAATGCATCTTGCCCTAGGTTAATAGGTAGAAAATGAGAGATAATTGATAAGCGTATACTTTTATGGAAGAATTTGTCAAATTAGGTGGCTCTAGCTCTTAAAACCAAAGCAGGATTTCGATATCGATTTTCATCGATTGCTTGGAAACGGGGTAAGTTATCGATTATCGGAAACAACCTCGTATCACGTAGGTACTAGGAGGATCTAGGTTCAGGTCGTTCATGTCTATAGCTCTAATGGAGTCAGAGATCGACGCGATAATACCTACGGACGGAAAGACGGACAGACAGACGAACATGCCTAGCTCGACTCGGCTATTGGGGCTGATCAAGAATATATATACTCTATGGGATCGGAGATGTTTCCTTTTGCCTGTTACATGCATTTGCACAAAAGTATCATACCCTTTTTACCCATTTTCAGGGTATTAAAACGATATAGTTTTTAAAATATTTGTATTTTCGTTTGTTAGTTTGTTTCTTCTCGTCGCGTTAAAATTTTGTCGAATGCTTTCATTTCATCGCCTGTGCCGCAATTCGCATGCTAAATAGCTGAGTGGAGGGTGCCCGAACAACCCTCCCCCAACCCACACGCCCCACTCTCACGGCTAGTGTGGGTAAAAACAAAAGCTAAATGCGAAAATTGAATTGCAAATTTCAATTGAAATTCTGCGCACGTTTCAAAAGACCGAAGCGGGCAGCAACAAACACTGAAATAACAACAACAACTTAGCAACAATCAACAACAACAATGCGAGTTCAACAACAAATACTTCTTTCAGTTTCATTTGACACTTTTAATGATTTCGCTTGTCAACAACATTCAGTTGGTTCACAGTGGGCGGGTCGCAGAGTTGGGGTGGCGGTTTTATGCGAAGTGTGGGAGGGGTTTGGTGAGGAAAGGGGGGGGGGGGGCACATTGACGGACTAGACAGACGGGCCTGATAGATCGTTGCGTTCCGACTGACTTGACAAGAGGTGTTAAACACACACCGAATGTGAGAGACAGCTGCCTGCCAATCGAACAAACACTTATCGGATTGATAAGGCTGATAAGGCGGTGGAGGAGCCAGGGGGCGGGGGTGGACATGAGTAAAATAAACAATAGATATTTGTTAAATTTGGACGGCATTTAATTTAGTAACTGGCAGTAGCGGGAAAGTAGCGCTAGTTAAGTGATTTATGTACTAGTTATAGCTACATGATAATCGCAATAGATTAGAAAATGAATTCTCTCATAAAAAAAACAAATTTGCAACGTTTCATTTGTCTAAGAGCGAAGCATAAATAAATTTAACATCATTTGATTATTACTTATTGTTTAAATGCAATAAGTATTTTTTAATATTTCCTTATTTGCTTGGACAAAGTTGAAGAAGTTTGATAATAACTTGTTGCAACCCCTCAAAGTGTATACGAAAAACTCAAACAAACCGAACTTGTTATTAGAATTTATTGCAGCTTATCAGCGATAATATTTTGCTGCACACGCTTGAAGATAAGTTAATTATATAGATACAAATTATTTTAAGAATTTCTAATACTAATAATAAATTCGCTAATGACATAATCACGTAATTATTCGGTTTTTTTGCCTTGGGCAGCTTATCAAAGGGGTCGCACAGAGCCTCAACTATCAAACTGATAAAACCAACTGAAGATCGCGAACAAACAAGTTTAATTGACGTACAGTAAAGCCTCATTAGTTGGCAATAGGCGCATTTTGTGCTTAGTTTATAATTCAATTTGAATCCATGTGCAAAATTCATATGTATGTCAATATTATGCTAGTTTCGCAATTCAACTCTCAGCAATTACGAGGGAGAGAGAGGGGGAAGGTATATAAGTGCATATATAAAAGGAATTGTATATAGAGTTATTAACAAATGTTTACATTTAAGTTCTGTTGACTTTGTTTCGCGAGACATTTGTTGACTCGACGCTTGCAATTGGCAAATAATTCGTTATCAAGTCGCAAATGTTGCAGTTAATTTAAGCAAATGCAATCAAATCAAATCGAATCAGCGCTCAGGCAGGTTTAAAAACTTTAAACGAATGCCGCAAGTCAATTGAATTCAATTGGACAAACACAAATGACAAAAAGGAAAGAAACGAAAAACATAACGAGATAAAAATTGCTTTTACATTATTTGATTAGTCCGCCCTCAAGAGAACCCACAATACGGAGCACAGCAAAACGCAGCTAATTAAAACGTTTAGTATATGCAAATGAACAGAGACGGATTGTCCAGTCGCATCGGAGGTCAGTCTGCCTCTGCCACGCCTACCTCTGCCCCACTCCAAATAGATATGGACAATGAAAATTTGAACAACACGACTCGATATGCACGAACTTGTGTGATGGAAATAATGCTCAGGGAATTAACATATTCATTAAAAAATTAGCTTTAAACTTTATGAATTTATCCTATGCACAGAAGACTGAGGCCAACTTGTTCTGAGATTTGCAGATATTGGAAAGTACTCAAAAAGTAACTCAGAGTTGCATCTTGAAATTGTGAACTATTAAGTAACTTCACAGTGTTGCAAAACGATCCACTAGGCAAACATTTTTTTAGTAAACTACAATTTTAAA